CATAAAATAAAACACAGCTTCGTGCGAACATTTTGCTGAAACCGAAGACTGCCTTACTAAAGAAACCACCGAATTTGTTGGACTACTTATGTCCGCGAGTATTGCTACTTTCTCAATTGAGTGTAGACATGGGTAATATGAACAAATTCACAACTCTACTGTACTTAGACGAGCAATATTATTAACGGGACAGACATTAGGCTACCGTTGCCAATGCGCAACTTGGAATCGCGAAATTCATGATTTTATCAAAAGTTCCTCAAAAAGCAAGATTATTTGCTTTGAAAGCTTCAGTGCCCTTGAAGAAACTTGAGAACGATCCAAAGTTGAGGAAAAAAATCATAAAAAAATGACTGTATCACGGTGAAGGTTATTATGTGTACTGTTTATTTGGATATCTGTGTATCCACTTACAGCACTGTCTGTATTTGCGATTAAATTCCGTCATGTACAAGTCGCCATTTTTATCGCACCAGCGATTTTAAGCCGCCGCTTTATGCAGGAACGTATGCCGTAATGCCTGAATTACCTACAAGTACGCGTAGGGCAGATAAACCCGCGGTCGCGGAAATCAAGCTGTAATTACTGGGATACAATCTGTATACACCTTGCTTCACTTTGTGGGTATCTTACTGGCTAATCTAGACTCGCGACGTGCTGAGTCAATTAATAAGCGGAAGATTTTGTTAATTTGTCCTTTATTTGTTTAGCAGCATGCATGGGAAACAGTGGTTACCGCTTTTTTCATGAAGCCGTGATATAAGTTTTGAATGAATCAGATAATTTTCTTGCACTTGACAGCCATGCATGCATTGTAACTCATAAAATATAAAAAAGATGTCTCAGTCTGCAAAAGAAAAAGAAATGTAGACTTGTCGCTTGATCTAAAGTAATTATACATAAACCCCCCCCCCCCCCCCAAAAAAAAAACAATTTTCAACGTTTAAACAAACACCGCGATTACAAACATATTAACGTTGCTTTTATTATCGGAACTTGAATTCCGAGAGGGTATCTTTACAAATAACCGCCTACCGCCTGCAGCATTAACGCGTCGCGGATAATTTTACTTATGGGGAAATTTTCACGTGGGTGCAAGTATTCAATACGTATAGTATTATATTATTATACATTTATAGCTTCTGCATGATTCATGTTCATACAAGACTGCTGGCAATAATCGCAGCCCTAGTATCCCTATTGTCATTTAACTTCAACGGCGTTAATTTCACTGCATAGTTTTTTTTTGTATGTTGGCTACAATGCTAATAAGACCTTTATAAGAATACGCATGTGAAGTCTGGGACTCGGATGTTAAATATCTCATATCAAATCTGGAGCAAGTTCAACGGCGTGCGTTACGTTTTCTTTTCTCTTGCTATAGGAGGCTGGACTCACCTCTTTATAAAAGGGCAAATCTACTCCTTCTTCAAGTGCGGAAGAAGCAGAAGCGGCTTAACCTTTTTTTTTATACATAATGAATAACCTGACTCTAGTAAATAAGCAACAGTATATTAATGAGAGCATGTCGCGTATAACCCGCAACAAGCATGCTCGGTATGTGGAAGAGCGTAAGTTTTCGAAGGACTGTTTTAGGTATTCGTTCTTTTTGGCAAACAGCTCGAGAATGGAACAAGCTACCGGCACATGTCGTGACCGCTGGAACTCGAGTATAGTTTAGTTCCCTTGTTTCAGAGATTTCTGACAGCAGTACCTAGAGTTATCATTTCATCGTTGTGTTGAATACGTGTTATTATTCTGCGCATTTTGAGCGCATGTATTTTTTGTGTTTTTGTTTTTGTTTGTTTGTGCATCGTGCAAATCCACTCCTATCTTAGTCCTGTGCAGGACCGAGAGTATTCCAAATAAATAAATAAATAAATATACGGCTGAATCATTTTAAGCAAAACTCTGATAAGTTGAACCCTGCATGGTAACACTATAAAGTGCAGAAAATTGTGGATGTTTCGTTCATCCTATTTTGAGGACCAGTGTACATCTTCTGACAGCTTTAATTTTTATCTCTCTTCGTAAGATAAAATCTGGAAATATTTGTTTCTTGAGGAGACCAGAACGGACATGTGAACACGAAGGCGAAATGTGTACTGCGTCCTTTGATATTCTGTTTTCCTAATTATCGTTGTTATGGTCGTTTGGTGTTATAGACTGCTTGACGGAATATACCAACATTTCATGGAAAGATTGATCCTAAGCTGCAACAGGGGTCCATCAGTCTATACGTTAACTGAAGGCTGTGGAAACAAGAATGTCTCCAATTCGAAATATAATACGAGCCCCCAAATACAGAAAGGTATCCACCAACTCTTTCTTTAAAACTCAATGCGTTTAAACGGATACTCTGTCATATTTAACAAGATGACGATGTGTACGCAGAAATAAGGCACACTGAACTCCATGGTTTCGAACACTGTCATTCAACATTCAGGTTTTATTTACTCTTTCTTTCTTTTATCCCTTCTACGGCGTACAAACAGTACAATATTCAAGAAGTCGGAGACTTCTGCTTGACGTCTTAAGTTATTCAATATGACAGTTCGCCAGCTGATTCCGTCATCGACGCTGACTCCCGCAAGGCCGACCTTCGAGATACGGCGGTGGATAACTTTTAAACTTTGTTGCTCTTTAATGCACATGGTTTCTTTTTTTTTCTCTCTTTTTTTGTGAGTAGGTTGCGGATTCCATTTACTTCGTTTGCTTTTCCAGAAAAATAAAGCTAATGCGTCAATAAAATTGAGTGCTTAACTCATACATTATTCAAATCAATTGAGATCTTAAAGAGTCTTGATATTACTTGGGAAGCACCGGGATGACCTTGACATACGCATTCTATTTAATTTGAAAAACTATGCTGCAAGTTGTCTCGTTTTATGAATAATGCCTGCGTGAATCGCGGCAAGATTAATGTTTGTGAGCACTCGAGATTATGACTAAAATTAATGCATAACGCTATCAGTCTTGCCTACAATTAATACGACTTTTCAGGTCACTGCTATGAAACAGCTAGATGTCATTAAGAAGGACAGCGTTTGGTCGATTGTGCGGATAATGATAGTATAACAATATCTAATTTGAAGAAAGATCCATCTATGTATGTATTCCAATCGGCAGAGCTTATTTTTTTAGAATATTACCCAGATGTCATAAAGTATGTGCCAGCCAGATAAATGCTATAATTTTGATTTTACATAGGATCAATAGTATATCTACCAAAGAAAACACATTCTTGAGCGCATTCTATGGGAACGCAGCTAGAGCAGTATTGAGTTTTTACAACCTGTAATATTTCAAATTCCGAGTGTGCTGGCACTTGCGACGCGCAATCTAGACTGTTGGCAAAGGCAATCATTAATGATGATAGAAGCGCACATCATTTAAAATAAAGCGCGTTTACTATTACATTAGAAAAATGTGCGTGTTTGCAGATGCTGCACAGTCTGTAGCTGCCAGAATCAGCACATAATGACAATTAGCGATTGCCTCTACTAATTTGGCACTGACGCCGATAAATTTAACAGTGAAGCTTTTGTCAATTTAAATGACACCTTACTTCGTAATAATCGGCGTAAGTACTTGATTATCCGCGTGAATAACTTGTCTGCTTTCTAACGGTCGGCTATACATTTAGACTGTAAAAGCAACGCTCGCAAGTTTAGAAGAATCCACCTTACCGTATACGAGAGCCTTTATACGCCACGCTGGGAGTCTGCGTCCTCCGAACTCGGGGTCAGTACCGACAAAACAGAAACCCCGACGAAGGAATCTCTCTACATTCTCTCTCCGCCCCAAAAGATGCGATGTCGCTTCAGCAGTCGACGGGGGGAATTTCAGCAGCTTTGGTTGTTTGGGTCGTCGTCGCGCTGGCTTGTGTCCCTCCAGAGTCCATCACACTCGTGGCCCCCAAAGAGGGACCGCCGAAGACGTGGGGGGCAGGCTTCTTTTTCTCTGCGCCGCATTGTAGACCAAAAGAGGACATCGCGGCGCTTAGGGTCCGCCTCCCCTTGACTTTTGGTGGGGTCGAATTCGTTTTCCGCGGAGTGTGAAGACCCGCGGTGAAGATCCACGGCAGCGCACCTGCACTCGGCAAGCCGGTCGCCACGGGGAGCGGCTCGGGATGTATGGCGCTGCTTGGGTCCGTTTAGCTCGAGGCGATGCACGTGCAACGTTTTCGAATCACTCCGAAGGGTCCTCATGGAGAAGGGCGGAGGGGGAAGCAGAGGGTTTCTGTTTGACTTCTTCTTTTTCCGGGAGAAAGCGGCCGCTGTGTCACGGTATACTTTGTGGGAAACCGGGGCTTGCAAGTCAACGAAACGAGGAGCAGTGAGCAGGATGGCATCTTTTCTTTTCCTTTGTGAATACCGCTGTTTTTGAGGAGTCGATTGGGTCGAAGGGAGGTCGCTTGTGCTGCTGCACACCCGTGGAAATGAATAGTTTCCGCCTGCTTGGCTTGAGAGCGATGTTTTCCAGGGGGGAGGGGGAGGGGATTCTTTGTTCTGCGACTCTTTCGCGTTGCTTGGTAAGTCTGGTTTCTCCTAGGCGTCGTTGACTTTCAGCAGTGTTTGTAGAGGGATTGCACGGCGTCGTAGAAGACTTAGAAGTAACCTTTGCTGTCTGAATGCCGACGTGGATTGTGCGGTGTCTTGGGCTTCGCCAAGCAGGGTCGCTCTCTCGGATGGTCATCTCTCTGTATCAGGGTTTGCGAAATCAGCACCACCTAGCAGTTTTCGGTCCTGGTAGTCTGGGAAACGGCGCTTGTTCATCGGATTGGGATCCATCACTGGATGAAAGGATTTTCTTTTTTCTTCGTATGAAGGTTGAACAGGAACTATTTGGAGGAGTAGCCGACCGCTGAGACGCTAACAGCAACATTCCTTCCCCTTGAGGCCTAAGTCGTGAAGTCTGTACATATATATACACGCGAGGAATCGGACGTGTCCTCGCACACCTCTTTCACACCTATGTACACTCACACACGGGCACACAACTACACACGCACACTTGGAACCTGGGTGGCCCTATCGCAGTCGCTGCATTCTCACGCCATAAATAACGTCCGGCGCCGCCACGAACTAACAGAGATCGTTCGCCAGTTCGTCCGACACCACGTCGAGGGACGTGCACGACACGTCACTGGAGGCCGAGTCCGGCCTGGGTGGCGTGCAGGGCAGCGACGCCGTAGCGGACGCCATCTGTGACGTCATATGGGCCGCACTCACCGAAAACAAGGACTGTTCTGGACTCATCCCCGGGAACTGGAACGCCGGAAGCAGAGTCGGCGGCTTGAGGGGAAGCGAAGGTAGCGAGAACGGCATGGCGCTGCCCGAAGACGACACCGGCACCACACCGGCCAGAGGGTAGTGACCTGGCGGCATCTTGGCGCCGCACAGGAGTCCGTTGAGGTCTTGGCGGCCGGCCGCAGCGGCGACTAGACTCGAGTACGTCGAGTGCCAGGACGCTGTCGTTGCGTACGGTAATGAACAAGGGAACGGGGGGAGGGAGCGGAGATGCTGCGGATGCGGCGACGGATACGAAGGACTCGGCAGGACGCCGCTGAAGTGTTTGCCCTCGGGCGCGATGATGTTCTCGATGGAAAATGGCTGCTTGATGAACGGCAACGTCGTGCTGTGCCGGAGCGGGTCGGCGTGGTGTCCCTGGAGGTGACTGGGCGCGGCCGCCAGGGCCGTCAGCCTCATCTTGGCCTGTTCCTGGATGGCGTTCTGCGACACGGTCTCGTAGTGCTTCAGCTCGGCCAGGGCAACGGCCGTGGCGTCCTTGATCTGCCGCGGGAGCTTGAACCTCTTGCGGCGCCTGAGGAACGAACCGTTCTCGAACATGTCCCCGCAGGCCGGGTGCAGGGCCCAGTAGCTCCCCTTACCAGGTCGATCTGGCCGCCTGGGGATCTTGATGAAGCAGTCGTTGAAGGAGAGGTTGTGCCGCAGCGAGTTCTGCCACCGCTGCGTGTTCTTGCGGTAGTACGGGAACCGGTCCATGATGAACTTGTAGATGTCACTGAGCGTCAGCATCTTCTCCTGCGAGCTCTGGATGGCCATGAAGGTGAGCGAGATGTAGGAGTACGGCGGCTTCTGGTCGCCGTACGTGGAGCGGCCCGGCCGTGGCATCGTGCCGGGGGCCCCGTCGCTGCGTTTGGGAGTCACCGCGGAGGCTGGTGACGGCTCCGGCCGTCCACAAAAGACGGCGCGGCGGCGGCGGCCTGTACGTTGATCGCAATCCGGACTGGCGCCTGGTCGTTCCGGCCGCCGGACTCGCTTCGACTACGGCCGCCGCCGACGAGGGTAACAAGAATGGGAAGGTCGGGGGCCGGCCCTCGCGGTGTCCCGCCCTTGCCTCGCCGCTCGGGACGTCCCACCGCTACGTCACGCTGCGGTGCCTTTGAGGCAGGGGCGGGGCCGCTGTTGATTTAGCGCTCGGCCTATCCGGCTTGCGGACTCGTCGAATGGGCGGGACCGGGCAGGCCGGTTGTCGACGGGCTCTGCCCGCCGTGTCGGGTAGGATTAGGTACCAGCCGATTGGTGCGTGCGCGCGTGGCCCCGCGTTGCGCGTGTGCGTTCGGGGAAAGCTCGAGGGGAGTCCTGTGTGATGTTTGCCGCGTTCGCGTTCGCTTCGAGACCCGAACGCTAAGGAAAGAGCCGCCGCGGCATATGTGCAGCCGCGGGATCGAACCGCTGTGAACATATGTGCACGGCGAAACCCGCCCTGCCGGCCTCCGTGCAGCGTGCGGAGTCGGAACTTTTTGGGAGGGTCGTAAAAGGCAACCACATTAAAAGCGCTTTACCTTAGACCTGAAACACGACCACATACTCGGTTGTTCCTGGGCTTAACTGCCCCCCCCCCCCCCCCTACCTCTCGAATCCCACACCACGGAACTTGGTTTTATGACGGCATCTTGAGTTGAGTTTGGCCGGGTAACGTTTGCTTCATTTCTTTTATATTCTCTACCCCGGCACTCTTTACCCGGATGAGAGTTACAAGAAGATTAAGAAATGAGGGGCGGGGCTCCTTATAGCAAGGCGAGGAATTATATTGGGGTAGGTGTATAAACATCAAGTGGCAATATTTAATGGAAAGGCGAAGCGCGAGCTGCTCTGGCCAAACCTCTTAGCCGGAACCATTATTCGCACGAAAGGCTGGCAACGCTCTTTATTTCTTTGTCTATGACATAATCTACTTTTTGTGTTACTTTGAGCTCATACTCTAAAAAAATGATATCAACTGTTAGGATTTGCAGCGCCGACGGAGGGATCGCAAAGCCTCCCTTCCACCGCTGGAACCAGCTATAAGACTTAGCCCTCCTTTCGGTCTTCCTAAAGCGTGGCTTGCGAGAAAATTGCGTGAGCACGTACAAGCGCTTACTTCTGGGGTCACTTGGCAAGTATGGTCGGAAATGGAGCTAAAGCATCTGCGCTCAGTTTGACCGAAAGGCTTGGTTGGCTGAGACCATGAAAATTGAAAGCTTTACACTGAAAATAAGGGTTCACTTGACTTTACGATTTCCGAGAGGTAGTCACATTGGGGTTTCTGGGGAAGCAGTTATTGTTACACGTTTTCAAAGGACCTTACAATCCCGAGGTCCTAAGGTCCCAAATACATTTGCCATGTATGAATAAATAATGTACTTATATGTGTATAATTAAACATATAAAATATATCTATCCCACTCTATCCTATATAATAAATTACAAGATAAAACCAGCCTTGCAGTCTTAGTAGCCAGGATTCCTATGTTATAATTGTTTTAGGCATATAATAATGCGTGTAAAATATTTCCGTATAACGGTAAACTATTTCGAATTTAATGGTAGCCAATTTATAAAGACTCCTCACAATACATAAAAGTTACTTATTTCTCGTATAAGAAAGTGCTAACCCCCCAAGTCAACTTCAAGACAGCCTACGAGCTAACCATGTTACCGCGTGTTTTAGGTGGTCAAAGTGCTAAAGTTACGCATTTGAAATTCAGTTGAAATTAAAAAGGAACGATCGTTCTTCCATCCATTTCCGCGGACAATTGAACGACTCTACGGTCTAGCTTGTCCAATGCAAAACACAACGCTGGTTTTACCCCGTTCCATACGACTGCGAACATTTCAGGAGATTATATGGTGTTTGTAAAAATACCACTTTTAGCACTCACGGCGGTCGAACGCGAAGGGAAGCTCGTTTGCTTTTTTTATTGTTTATTTGTTCTCCTGTTTATCATTTCTACGTTAGGATTCATACGGTCTGCCTCATATATATCGGATTATATGCTTTGTCTTCAAGAACCACAAGATCTGCTGTAGAAAAAACAAAGAAAAACAACGTACATCTGCCTTTTTTTAGGAAGATTGAAGTTTCTGTGTTTGAAGCGAGAAGAAACGTCTTACATATGATATTATCGCAAGACCGATGCCTTCACTGAAAGTTTCTTATTTCTCCTATATGAATGCACAAAGCGTGTAGCTTCCGCTCGACTTCGCGGAAACGAATTTATGACCCATCATACCAGAAGAATAAAAACCTGAAAAGTGTTTTTATGCGCACGTTCAAAAGACTAAACCGAAACTTCTCTGAGGTAAAATGAAGCAAAATGAGACAACAAATTTTCAGTTCAATTATATGGTTTCTTTTTGCTTGAATATTTAAAAAACACACATAATGGCGTTATTCCAGATGTCTTGGCTCCATTATCAGTAATTATAACTTAACTGTAACAAGTGAAACATTTAAAAAAAAGCTGAAGGTCACACATTGTCTCATTTCGCCCTACCCTGTGGGGCAAAATGAAACAACGTAGTAGGGTAAAGTGAGACCCGCTTAAAAAAATACCCTGATATGCGTTCAGTTTTTGTAATAAAAACACTTGAAAGGCAGTGTCTGAGTTCCAACGCATTCCTCATCAGGCCACTCCTTCCATTCCATGTAACTCGATCCATACTGAACACTTCGCTCCAAATATATTTGCATACCATACAGGTACGTAGCCAGGATTTTGATTTCGGGGGGGGGGGGGGGGGGGGGGGGGGGGGACTGACGCAGTCTAGTTAGCTTTAATCTGTGCCCCCCGAATAATGCACATTATCACATCTTATGGTACTTGGAACGACGAACCCCTCAAAACAAAACCAGCGCTCTAGCAAAAAACAGGTAGTTCACGCAAACTAAACTTTAAGTTATGGTTTTTAACTAAAAGAAAATTTTAAAAAAAGCTGACAAACCGTAACTATAAATGGGATTACAAATTCTTCAGTGGCAGTGAATAGGCTATGGTGAATTTTACTAGACAAAAAACTAAAACAAACGCAGTATTTCCACAGCCTTGGCAATTACGATAGACTCAGTATTAAAGACCTAGGATCATCAAATTAGGACCGCAATCATAATGTATACGCGCTGCACGACACACAAACGGTAACACCTTGTCTTGTGGCAAAAAAACGTGATGCCGAGAACTATAGCTAACAAATAAATGTACGACAAAACCAACGCGCGATTAATGAGAACATACACACGATCGTGCTACAAAAACAATCCATTTTGATGGCGATGTAGTTTATCAGGTGTGCACGAGATGTTTTTCATTTTGCGCGTGAAGAAACGTACGAGTCGTTAAACTCAGCCGCCCGTTATTTTTGCACGGAGCGTGCAACTTATTTTGCATAAAGGAAAAGCGTGTTTTTTTTTCGTTTGTGTGTTGTCTTTCTCGTTATTGTGATGTTGTTGTTTGCGGTTACAAAGAACGGTTTTCTTCGCGGGAGCAGGGGCAAGAAATGTTTCCTTTGATAGCCAAGAGATGAAGAATGATGTCTTTTGAAGCTAATGGCGAAGATACTGCTCGTAAACCATGGCCTTTTTTTGCTGCACAAAACCAACAAAACACGAGAAAAAGGCGAGCTTTTCGGTTCATTGAGTTGCCCGTTCGTGGAGCGTTTGTAACTTCTATGATTGACGGTCTTGTGAAAAATTCTCATCACCAGAGGCGCCG